AGCTGCGCGACATCTCTTCGTTCTTCAGGAGCTATTTCAACCTGCAGCACCAATAAGGGGATCCTTAGAGCAACGACAGAAATGGCAAACATTCTCATGCATGCTGATAAGAGAGTGATTAGTTCCTGCTTGCTTGATTGCCAGGAGATTTTCTTTGTTTCCTTGGAGTGGACGTCGAAGATTTTCCACGCGTTGTAGTTCTTTTCACTGCCGAGGTGTAGTCCCCACTGTGCGCGTTGTGAAAATCTTCCCGCTCGTACTTCGGTACTGTACCATGCACCCGAAAACTCGTATCATTTTTGTGCTGCCCTGTTTCCCTGTTAAAACAGATGCGTTGATGCATTGTTCGGAAGTGAAGACGACGACCTCAAGTTGTGCAGCATGACAGCGTGGTCCATTCCTGCAGGCCACTGGTGGTTGGGTAGTCGCATGCCACGTAACAGTTTGCGCATGCTGTTCTGCAGGGTCCTGTTCATTCTTTCTGCGACACCTTGCTGCTGATGGGCGTAGGGAAGGTAGAGGAGCTGCTTGATTCCTCTTTCTGCCAGGTACTGCTTGAACCGCTGAGAGGTGTATTCTCCCCCTCCGTCTGACTGGAAGCTTTTCAGTTGTGCTCCCGACTCTCTCTCTGCTACTGGTAGCCTGGCAGCGAAGGCTGCGAGTGCCATGTCGCGGCTGGGTAGGTTTAGGTGCCAGACGTATCGAGTGGCGGCGTCGATGAAGATGATCGTGTAGTTATATGTAACTTGTCCTGGTTCTCGATTGAAGAGGATATCGCTGTACACTTTCTCAAGTGGTGCGTACGCGGGTGCGCTCGGGTTGTGATGAGGAGTGAACGGTCGGTGTGGTAAGGCGGCTTCGGGGCAGGTAAGGCAAGTTCCTCGTGCCCGTTGAAATTCTCTGCCATCGGGTAGTAGTAATGAGTCCTTGTCAAGGACTCCTGCTCTTATTGTGTTGTTTAACACAGTGTTGCTTGGATGTCCCATGCGTGCGTGCCAGATGTCTTCGGAGGCGCGGTGTCCGGGAGAGCGTCGATACGCGTCGGAGTTGGAGTAGAAGCTGGTGACGAAGTTTGCGCTTCTGTGGACTTGTCGTTGAGTTGGATTCAGCTGCTGTGCGGGTGTTGGTGGTGCTTCGTCAACGAGGACTGGTGTCGTTGTTCCTGCTGCTGCTGACGATGTTTTTGCTGCTGCCGATGTTGTCTCTGCTGCTGCCGATGTTGTTTCTGCTGCTGCCGATGTTGTCTCTACTGCTGCCGATGTTGTTTCTGCTGCTGCTGAATGTTGTATTGTTACTAACGCACGCGTTCGTTCTGCTTCAGGGATGGTATGTGAATACCATAAGCCTTCCGGACTGAAGTCGGGGTCGAGATCCGGAGGATGTGTCCAGTCGGTGAAGTTCACGATGCGGCATGCAGCAACAGGGTATTTCGCTGCACAGCGACTCATGCGGGCGGGCGCGCCGTTCTAACTGTCCGGCTTGGCGGCAGGTTTGAGGGCAGTGGCGGCCGGTGATTCAAACCTGCTGCTGGCCGTGCTGCTGTGCGGATTCGCGTTTGTGGTGTACTCGACTCCCACTGTGTAAGCCGCACACGATGGAAAAGAAGCTTGAATGACGGGACGGAAAGGACAGTGGACTGAATCTGGATGAGCCGACGGGAAGGGGAACCACGGGAAGGGAGGTTGGTGGGAGGGAGAGATGTGAAGTGCCTCACATCAGCAGGTTTGTGAAGCGCTTTTCCCCATACTCTACACCACTGGGAAGCGATAAGCTATCGGATGTGTACAGACGGCTCTACTTTGCTGTTTCCCTTTTTAGAACAACCCCTCCCTCCATCCTCATTCCTCCTTGTAACCTACACCACAGGGGAGCGATAAGCTATCAGACGTGGACGGGCGGCAGTGCTCGGCTCTCTTCACCTCCACGCCCTTCACCCACGAGCTCTTTCAGGGGCTGCTCTCCGTGCGCGCGATTACTGCCACAGTATGAGAGCTCGCTCACTCACCCACTCTCTCACTCTCTCACTCGCTCACTCGCTCACTCACTCCCTCACTCACGCACTCACTCACCCATTTAACCACTGCTTCACTCCATTCGCCTCCTCGTCATTCGCCCACGAGCTCTTTCAGGGACAGCTCTCTGTGCGAGCGATCACAGCCACGGTATGGTTCACTCACTCACTCTCTTAGTCTCTCACTCACCCACTCATACATTCACCTCTTCTATCATTCACTCTACTCCTCTCTCACCCCATCCTCTATCCTCCAGGGCAACATCAAGGCGCTCCATGCTGAGCTGGCGCTGGTGACGTCAGCGGGGAAGGCTGCCACGTGGAATGGCATCACTCACACCACCGTGAAAGCCCAAGAGCGAGTTGGACCCTGTGCTTCCCATTCATGCTCACATGCTCAAATACATGATACATCCCCACATTCTTCCTCTCCTCACATCACCCACATCCTCGCATTCATCATCCTCTCCTCACAATCACACACATCCTCGTGTTTTTCCTCACATCGATTCGTAATTCATCCTCCCATTATGCTTACGTCACATGCGAGTCTCACATGTACACACTTCATATGCTCACCGCCTGCCTACCTCCCTACTTCTCCTTTCAGCCAAAAGAAACCATCGTGGCCCGAGCAACTGCAGTTGCTGGTGCCGCGTGCTGCTGCATCTGACACCTTGCTGCAGGTGGGTACTGTGACGTGTCAAACCTCATCCTACAGCGTTTGACACCTACCTTCAGGTAATTGACTAGAAGCCCAAAGAATGCATCACGGTCCGAGCAACTGCAGTTGCTGGTGCCGCGTGCTGTTGCATCTGACACCTTCCTGCAGGTGGGTATGTGCTCTCTCAGGTGGCTGTTTGATTGGCACGGCCACCATTGCTCTCACTGACTTGATCAAAGGTGGGGTTGAGAGTGTGTCGGGTGAATGAAGTTGGCTGTTCCTGTTTCCCTCTCCCGTCATCTAACCGCTGGTCTCTTGCCATCCAACGAACTTTGCCATCCCCATCCATGTTCTAACCAAGTGCTACGATTTTTTCTCATGCAGGATCCCATTCTGAGCGAAGCTACTACACAAGTATCCTGACTAGTTCCTGGCAGGCTTGTCCCGCGCTACACATCGTCGACCCTGCCCAATACATGTGAGTAATCGCCGGGAGTTGGGTTTGTTGTTGTACAAGCTAATCCAACTCAAGTCATATGTGCCTTAACTGTTTTAGTTACGTGTGTAACAATCACTCTCCAAATTGTTGCATCGTGATTTAATGCAGAGTGGAGTCGGAGGTTGTTTCAACAGGCGATGAACTCGATGACGACATGCCGCCGCTGGTTGAGCTCGAGGAGGCCTCACGGGTGGTGTGGAGCGTCTCGCTACCAGTACCACATTCAAACCGGAGGCTATGGCCTTTGTTGTTTGTGGCATTGGGAGACATTGCTGTCTCTGTTGGCTCTGCCCCACGCCTCCAGTGGCCAGTGTACCTGACTAGTGTGAATGTGCCGTTACATCGGAGAGATCTTAGCCTCTGGCGGCAGGTCCGAGATGGAGTACTGCGTTTCCATGTAATGCTTATGCCTGTGTGAATCATTTTGTTGTTTACAAAGTGCATATACGAGTGTCAATGTTGACTCTTTTGTCTAGTGAATTTTGCAGGCTTCTGCTGCCACAAGGTCCACTCGTGCAGACTTGGATAGACGTCGTGTTCATACGGTATCTATGACGACTTAAGGCTTGTGGCTTCGGTAAGTCTCAGCCTTATCATCCTCTCATGAATGTATGCCCAACACCACGTCTGATGTTGAGTAACGGACTTGTTTTTGGGTTATTCTTGCAGATCCCAGAGCCCCAAGATGGATATCTTCGTGTGTCGTCATTGCGGTAAAAAATACCAGTGCGACCTAGCTCTAGTGAATCACCAGCGGTGCAATCAAGATTGTTTAGCAATTCAGGAGAGGAATGCGTTTGAAACTCCGCCGACCCGTAGGGGAATTCTAGTCCCTCCTTTGCAGCCTGTACACCCACCACCACCGTTACCATTCGTGTTTGGTGCGCAATCTGCACCGTTAGAGGCAGAGCCTGTAGTTGAGGATGATTGCATCGAAATAGATGACTTCCATGATGCCCAAGCCGAGTTTGGGGAGGAGGAGGAGCCTAGGAAGTTTAACACCCGTTTAGAGACATTTAGGTTCTTGCAGTCGTGTAACAAAGGGACGGGCGCTAGCGCTCCCGACACTAGTTATTTCTTTAGACTAGTTAAAGATCCGGACTTCGATCCATCGGAATTGCTAGGATGGTCAACAAAGGCCGCTGTAGATGCTTACGGCATGCAGATGCTTGGAATCGACAAGTGTCAGAATGTTATTTGTCTAGCCTGCATTGGGGTGCTCAATACTGAGTACAACCCTTTAGGGTTTTCTATTTGTGTATCCCAACTCTTGCTAGTCACACCCTTTTTCCTTCCCTTCCAAATCTCTCGATACTCTCCCCTAGGAGAAACTCACTCGAACTCACCTACCTCCTAGTGTGGGCCTAGGCTACTAAGCCTAGGCCCCACACCTACTATTTTGTCATGGTATCTAGAGCGAGCATGTTCCTGCCGCCTAGCTTAACGGGCCCACCAACGTCTTCCGCTGCCCTACTGTCCGCCGCGCGCCCCGTGGCGCGCGGCTCTGCATTTTCTTCCCGCCACGCGCTCCGAGCGCGTGGCGGCTTTTTTCTGCCCGCCGCGCGCTCGGGGCGCGCGGCGGTTTTCCCGTCCATCGAAGCGCCCTCGGGGGGGCTTGCGCGCTGCCCTCCCCGCTGCTCGTCACGACGCCCGCGCGGGACCCGCGGGGCGTCGCCCCTAGTCGTCGCGACGACCCTACGGGACCCGCGGGGCGTCGCCCCTGCTCGTCGCGACGTCCGTGCGGGACCCGCGGGGCGTCGCCCCTACTCGTCGCGACGCCCCCTGTGGGACCCGCGGGGCGTCGCCCCTGCTCGTCGCGACGCCCCATGCGGGACCCGCGGGGCGCCGTCAGTTCCTGCAGCAGCAGCCGCCGCCGGCCTGCAGCAGCAGACGCCGCCGCCCTGCAGCAGCAGCCGCCGCCAGGCCTGCAGCAACAGACGCCGCCGCCCTGCAGCAGCAGCCGCCGCCAGGCCTGCAGCAGCAGCTGCCGCCAGGGTCTGCAGCAGCAGCCGCCGCCAGAGCCTGCAGCAGCAGCCGCCGCCAGAGCCTGCAGCAGCAGACGCCGCCAGGCCTGCAGCAACAGACGCCGCCGCCCTGCAGCAGCAGCCGCCGCCAGGCCTGCAGCAGCAGCCGCCAGGCCTGCAGCAGCAGCCGCCGCCAGAGCCTGCAGCAGCAGCCGCCGCCAGAGTCTGCAGCAGCAGCCGCCGCCAGAGCCTGCAGCAGCAGCCGCCGCCAGCGCCTGCAGCAGCTGCCGCCCCTGGACCCGGTACGCTCTGTGCTGCCCTGTGCTGCCCGTGCTTGTGCTGCCTGTGCCTGTGCTGCCCGTGCCTGTGCTGCCCGTGCCTGTGCTGCCCGTGCCTGTGCTGCCCGTGCCTGTGCTGCCCGTGCCTGTGCTGCCCGTGCCTGTGCTGCCCGTGCCTGTGCTGCCCGTGCCTGTGCTGCCCGTGCCTGTTGCTGCCCGTGCCTGTGCTGCCCGTGCCTGTTGCTGCCCGTGCCTGTGCTGCCCGTGCCTGTGCTGCCCGTGCCTGTGCTGCCCGTGCCTGTTGCTGCCCGTGCCTGTGCTGCCCGTGCCTGTGCTGCCCGTGCCTGTGCTGCCCGTGCCTGTTGCTGCCCGTGCCTGTTGCTGCCCGTGCCTGTGCTGCCCGTGCCTGTGCTGCCCGTGCCTGTTGCTGCCCGTGCCTGTGCTGCCCGTGCCTGTTGCTGCCCGTGCCTGTGCTGCCCGTGCCTGTGCTGCCCGTGCCTGTGCTGCCCGTGCCTGTGCTGCCCGTGCCTGTGCTGCCCGTGCCTGTGCTGCCCGTGCCTGTGCTGCCCGTGCCTGTTGCTGCCCGTGCCTGTTGCTGCCCGTGCCTGTGCTGCCCGTGCCTGTGCTGCCCGTGCCTGTGCTGCCCGTGCCTGTTGCTGCCCGTGCCTGTGCTGCCCGTGCCTGTGCTGCCCGTGCCTGTTGCTGCCCGTGCCTGTGCTGCCCGTGCCTGTGCTGCCCGTGCCTGTTGCTGCCCGTGCCTGTGCTGCCCGTGCCTGTTGCTGCGCGTGCCTGTGCTGCCCGTGCCTGTGCTGCCTGTGCCTGTGCTGCCCGTGCCTGTGCTGCCCGTGCCTGTTGCTGCCCGTGCCTGTGCTGCCCGTGCCTGTGCTGCCCGTGCCTGTTGCTGCCCGTGCCTAGTGCGCTCTGCTACTGTCTGCGCCCCCGTTTCCGGGTATGGGGGTGGCTGGTGTGCATTCCTCCCTTTCCTCCTCCTCCTTCGTCTCCCACTGCTGCAGCTGTCGCTGAGGGGGGTGGTTGTGTGGGAGACTGGGGTTTAGGGTTTAAGGGGGGTGCGTGGGAGTGGAGCTAGCGGTGTAGCAGCGGGTGTGTGTCAGGGGGGGTGGGACTGTTTGGGGAAGCTGCATGGAAGTTGCCGTCCTGTAGTCCGCAGCACCTGTAGTCCAGGGCGCTGTCCCGGTAGCCCAGTGAGCTAGACTTCTACGCCAGCCGCCCGTGGGTCCGTTGCCCGTCTGCCGCTGCTTGAGCCGCGGGGCCTGTTACTCCTGTAGTCCGGGCGCTGTCCGGTAGCCGCTGTGCCAGTCTGCCTCCTGTTGCCCGTGTGTCTGCAGCTTCAGCCGTCTCCTCCTATCTCCTCTCCCCTCACTCTCTCTCCTCCTCCTCACTTGCCCGTTGTGACTACCACTAGCTTTGCTCATAATTCTTAACTTTAAACTATTGCTTCTTTAACTTGTGCTCAGAATGTGTGGTGACATTGTGATCCACCCTGAGCTTGTACTACTTTGCCTGCTCTGCTGATTACACCCCACTTTGGCTATGGGGGTGTGTCAGAATGTTATTTGTCTAGCCTGCATTGGGGTGCTCAATACTGAGTACAACCCTTTAGGGTTTTCTATTTGTGTATCCCAACTCTTGCTAGTCACACCCTTTTTCCTTCCCTTCCAAATCTCTCGATACTCTCCCCTAGGAGAAACTCACTCGAACTCACCTACCTCCTAGTGTGGGCCTAGGCTACTAAGCCTAGGCCCCACACCTACTATTTTGTCAACAAGCTTCAGTTTCAGTCGCACCTCATCTCGGTTCGAGGGTGGCCATCCAGCTTCACCGTCAAGAGCGTCGACATCAAGCAGGTATTATTGATCAGAATTGATGATAGACTCACACACACAGTTTCGTGATGGACACACACACGCAGTCAGACCCTTCCATTGTGTGTTTGACTGATCATTCTCTTAATCTTTCCCATGTTGCAGGCCCTGGAAAGAATGTGGGGGGACATGCGCAATGCTCCAGGCTTCATCCACAAGCCACACGTAAAAATGACGAATGAGGGTCGTGTGTATGAAGGGGCAGACACAGGGAATTTTTGGCTGGGAGCACAGGTACATATGTCCCTTGGGTTCTTAGTGCGTAGATGTTATGTGTGCATGATGAACAAAAACCTAATGTGTTGTCTAACCTTTCTTATTGTGTTCCCACCCCAACAAGGGAAGAGTCCCACTGAGTGTGTGTGTCCGCTCATTCTTTCGAGCGATGAGACCACACTTAGTGGGAACGAGCGCTGCCGGGCTTGGCCGGTGTACTAGACGTTTGCCAATCTCCCCGTCGAGACACGATGGAAGGAGCATGGTCACGCCCTCGTCGCACTTCTGCCACAACCAGATCCAGAAATGGAGGCATGGCAGAAGGTGGAGTTGTTTCAGAAATCTTGCGATGTTGTTTTCAAAGCCCTCAGTGGGCTGTGCAAGACGTACATTTTAAACCCTTGTGTTGTCTCCTTGTATGTATGTGGTTAGATATCTAAAATTTATGTGTTAATGCGTTGCAGATCATTGCCCTTAACGGACCCCAACGGCAAGGTGTTCACCGTGTGGCCCAAGCTCTTCCAATACGTTGCAGATTATCCAGAGACGTGTAAAGTGACCTGCACTATGCAACACAACTCCGCAAGACCTTGCTCAATATGCTATGTGGAGAAGTCGAAGTTGGATCACATGGATCCGGACATCATTGACAACCGGGATCTCGAGAGGCAGTCTAAATATGCGAAGGACCCGAAACTCGCAAAGGAGTACTCTACAGTCATGATGGACGTGAGTGTAAACTTAGCGCATGCCTTTTCATATTGTAAATACCGTCCTGTTTCTTCTATCTAAGTGTTAGAGAGCTGTCAACATTCTCCTTTTGACATGATTGATTTTGTTGAACGCATGTTGCTATTGTTTGTGCCATGTATTTATAAACCGTTACTATGTTGTTCGTGTGACCCATTTCAGAGCTTCTTGTGGCATTTTGGAAGACAGCAGGACGCGAAAACCAACTGGGGTAATCCCTACAAGGTCATCTCACCCGATGTACTTCATGTCATCCTCATTGGGATCTGGGTGTACATTATGGAGGCTCTAGTATGGCATAACAAGAACATAAAGACCATGAACGAGTGAGTGTTGCTGAATTGGTGCTCCGTTTATCACCATATATTCCTGTTACACCCCTCTCAAACTTTCTGTGTGCGATAACGTTACAAGAGACACAGGGACCTTTACAGAGAAGCTAGAGCGGCAGGCATTCCACTTCCACCTCCAGGACGGTACTTCAGTCTTGGTGCCAACTTTCCAGCAGCCGATCATGCTGCCATGCTGCGAGTAAGTAGTTTAACATTTGCCATGTTGACAACTAGTACATGGCTCTGTTCTTTTTTACACAAGCGTCCCAAATAGGGTGATGCAACCCCTCTTTGCGTAATGAGAATTATCCCTTCTATTCCTGTTACACTTGATCTGCAGGTTGTGGTGTTCATCATGGAAAACCTGGTTGGAAGTGCGGCGCTGTACGGTTCTTTGTCAACTGGTTTGACGTGTACTTTCGGGCAAAGTCATACACCGAGGCAATGCTGACGCAATACATTAAGGATACCCAAGAGTAAGATCTAGATGCGCATGTTTCTGTGCTATGAAAACTGTAATGAAAATATGTGAAATATGTTGACCTCTTCAATGATTGGAGAATTTTCTGCCTTCCTGTTTCCCACTTGTTTCCTTTTTAGGCTCATCCGCTTGCTCAATAGCAACCTCCCTCGGGGCGGTAATGGCTGGAAATTGGTGAAGGTACACCTGCTGCTCCACTTCCCGGATGCCATCCGCCAGGGAGGCCTTCCTCGGGAGTATTGCACAAGCCTGTTTGAACACGCACACACCGCCACGTGCAAGAGGCCGTTCAGAGCAAGCAACCATCGGCAATACGACACCGCCATCCTTCAGAGCTCAGTGATCAGAAATGCTCTATCGTTGCTCCCTACGAGGTTGGAGAAGCATAGCATCTACGAGACTGCTCTGTTGAAAGTAAGTATTCATTTCTTGGACAACTGCGAAAGTTTTGCAGAAACACATATGTTAATTCCCTTGTTAGAAAACTGTGTATTAATGTCCATTGAAGCATCTTTTGGATGTTATTATTTTGCATTTTCCATGACTACAGGCTATCACTCTAAAAACCCAAGTCTTGACCACCCGCAGCCAGACGATGACTCTACCATGTCAAGAGAGGGGGTTAGCGGGCAATGCTTTGTGGAGTTCTTTTGTAGAGCACCATGGGGCCGGAATGCGCAGCCTGCCGAGTATGCTCCAGAACATGGGCATAAATTGTCACAGTGTGGAGGTAAGCATGTATTTTCACACATTCATCTCGCATCACATCCCCATGTCTATTAACCGGTGCTTTAACACACGACATCTCTTGACTGGCAGGTCCACACGACGTTGGCCCTGCCCCCTGGCGATGACTTTGAGGCTCATTACGCCCGTGCTGCTCTGACCTACCATGATGCACCTTGCTTCTCATACGTGGCCATCCTCGGGGAGGAAGATGGTCACATGGGCGCCCGCATTCTCACGACGTGGTATGCACAGCTTCTGCTACTCTTCCATGTGGACATTGTGCAGGACGGACGAGTCGTGAAGAAACCATTTGCTTACGGACGCACCACAAGCCCCCGCTCGGTGCCTACCATCACACCCGCGCCGTCGGTGCTGATGGCAACGATCCTCTGCAGATCCAGACCGACAGTCTCTAGGTGGCTTAGTAAGACGGTGAAAATTGATGCCGCGTCACACTTCTGGACGGTTAGGAGCGCCAGAAACTCGGTTGCAACCTGTCGGTCCTTCAAGAAGGTCACAAACACCACGAGATGCTTCCCGCGAGATCTGTCGGTGCTTTCATCACAACTGAGGCCGATCCAAGGCGACACGTGGATGTACATCATCTGTTGCTGCTGCTGGTAGGTGCACATAGCCTTCACCATCTCCTTGAAACCGTACCTGCAAGATGCGCAACAAAAAATTAGCCTCCGTAGCGTGCACAGAAAAATATCACCCAAGAATAAAAAAAGGTACTCACTCCGTGATGTAAACTCCGTAGCCCTGTCGAGGGATGTCAGGCACACCCTCCCTGGCCAGAAACTCCACAATCCGCGGGAACATTGCGATGGGTGCGTCTTCGTCGCACACAAATTGAATGCTCCGCATGAGCCTGATCACCCGCGCGCCCTCCACGTCCGCTCTCTCATAGTCGTCAATTTTCTTCTGCGCCGCCAACTTGTCGAGGAGCCCCTTCTGACGGTTGATGCACTCCTCATGGCGAGTGCTTGCTTGGTGCGCGCGCATCGACGCTGGCTGCAAGTCGCGGCCACCGCTTCCATTCCTCCCGTATCGTGCGTTGTCTGGGCCGTGTTCACTGCACACACTGCAACGCAAGCAAGGCAAGCCGTCATAAGCCTTGTCGAGCAAGAGCCAGTCAAACATCGGGTGCCATTTCATAATGTAGTTTCTGTTGGCTTCCTGGAACTTTGCTTCAGCGCGTTCAGCAGCAGTCAGCTTGAGAGGTGATGGCACTGGAGTGACCGCGAGAGGTGGCGGAGGAGGAGGTTTCACAAGCGGCGTGCCGGCGCCGAACCCAATCGTTGTCTGCGTGTAGCGGCGACGTTTCAGCGCTGCCGAATTAGAAGACTCCGGGGCTTCGGTGACGATGTCCGTCGTCTCAACGTCACCGTGAACGTCGAGGTCCGCCTCATTGCTTGTGGGACGTTGCGTCTCAGCGTCGTCTGAAGCTAGCTCCTGCTCAGGCGGGGGTGACCGTGACACAGCTTTGCGCACACGAAATTGCCAGCCCTCACTGTCATCCGAGGGCACAGGCAAAGGGCGAGGTGCAGATTCAGTTACATGGCCTCGCAAAAACTCGAGACCAGTCCTTGGCCTATAGCTACAAGAGGGGTTGCCATCATCGGCATTGGCAGCGTCTCCAGGCGCAGCCATGGCTACCAGGTGGTGGTCGCTCAGCTGCTACATTGAGTGGTTAAAACAGGAGCGACTTTGGGGTGGTGGTGAAATGACGGTGTCACACTATACTGCTAGCTGTGCTTGCAGAACCCACACGGCAAAGCTTCGGGACAGAAACTCACAGAGCGCCACGGTCGGGGACCGTGGTTTGCATCTCCAAGCACCGACAATCTGAATGTGGTCCCACTCCCAGGACTTAGTTCAGGCAGCAATACTGTAGTTGCTGCCAATGTGGGATTGCGTGTCGTGCTGGCAAGGGAATTATTCCTAACTGACCAATCGGACACATGACAGAAGCCAACGCAAGTACCGGGGGGGGGGGGGGGGGAGGGGAAGGGGTGCTTTGTACGCACTTCAGTGTAATCTA